AGACTGTTTTAGCCAACTGTCACATTGTGATCTCTTTTTTTTGTGTGTGTGTGTGTGTGTGTGTATAATAACCAGCTAAACTAGATGAAAAATCCTTGTCCAAACCGAGTCCATAGTCTTCAGTACCCAACTGGCATTTATTGGAATGCCCATCAGTGCCAAGCCCTTCGCAGATGTCATCCCTAAGCCTCATAATAGCCCCAGGGAGTGCATTGCATTATCCTCATTTCATAGAGGAGGATAAAGACTAAGCTTAGCTAATCGGCATGACATCACCATGTGGGCAATGATGGACCCACGTTTAACATGGATGTGTCTGACTCACAAAATCTGTGTCCTATTGACAAATTATGTACTCAAAGTCTAGCACAAAAATGCATAAAGTCAGAACAAGAGAGAGAATAGAGTGTAGAATGTCTGATAAAGACAAATAACCTGATTCAGTGTTCCAATGTAGCGCCGTAATGTGAGAATCCTGTTTTAAAATCCTGCCCTAATGGCCTGGACAGTGAAAAAGAGATCGCCTGGGTCTGGGGCTACTCAAGCTGTTTGAAGAGGGAGCTTTTAAATGTTTTTCCAGCTGAGCAAGCAAAAGAGCATACTCCCAGGTCAGTTTTGTTTGAAAAAGAACTACACTCTCATTCCTTAACTCTAGTTTATCAGTTTTATTCTACCAATACTTGGTGCCATCTATGAAGCCATGTCTATTTCCCTGTGTTAAAAGAGCAGATTGTTTCTCTCCCACTCTGCGCATCAGTAAGTAGACAGAGAAGGCACCCACACAAAGTTTTTACTCCCCACTCAACTTCCCGATTGTTTTCTGAGAGTGTGTCTGAGGGCAATCTTGTCTGTTGCTTCTCTCTCCCTAACACCCTTTCCTTCATCTTTGCTTTTATCTAGACATTGTCCTCCCACCACTCCGTCTTTGGCTACTTAGTTTCAAGTCATTTGCATAGTAGATTGGCCAATCCCTTGTCACATGATCCTCCACAAGAAATTCAAGCCCTTTCTTCCTTATAATAACCTGGAATCCTAACATCAGGTCCAATAAATCAAATTCAGCTTTGCTACCACTTACATGGCAAGTGGTTGTTCGCCATCGTCCTCCCTCCCACCTTCCCCCCCCACCCCCTTCCCGTCAGTAACTTCAAATGTCAGGAAATAAGAAAAGATCATCTCCACACAAATGAAAGCAAGCATGCAGACTGGACTGTTAACAGACTGGCATGATAATATACGGAAAACAGAAACAGACTCCTCTGGCATCTGATGTTCACACAGATTCACCAGGAAATTCATGCCAGACCAATCTCTGTTTGATGAGCGTGGCTGACACGACAGTTTTGGACTTAGCAGAGCATATGACTACGACTCTCATGACACTTCTGGAAAAGCTATATTGGGTTAAATAAGAACATAATTCTATATCATCATATACGGCTGCTTAAGATTGAAGATATTACAGTATGCTTGTATTCTGAAAGGAATGTTCGATAGAAACATCCAGCATTTGCAACCTCATCACCCCCACCTAGATCTATACTGTCCACTGCACATGTGGTTATGGAAAACTTGAAATGTGTCTGCTCTGAACTGGGATGTGCTTGAAGTGTAAAATGCACACTAAACTTGGAGAACTAAGTATAAAGTATAAGGATGTCAATTATCTTGGTAATGTTCGTACTGATTACTTGTTGAAAGGATATTTGGTGCTGGGTGTGGTGATTCATTCCCGTAGTCCCAATACTTTGGAAGGCTGAGATGGGAGGACTGCTTGAGGCCAGGAGTTTGAGACCAGCCTAGTCAACATAGCAAGACCCTGTCTCTATTGTTATTTTTTTAAGAAATTTGAAAAAAAAAGAAATAATATTTTGCATATATTGGATAACAAAATATACTATTAAATTAAGTTTACTTGTTTCTTTTCTAATAAGGTCAATAAAAGTATTTAAAATTATCTGTATGGTTTGTACTACATTTCTGTCAACTGCTGATTTAGACCAGCATGACAAATCTCCATGTGCCCTTTACCCAACTTGTTTTTGTCACCCAAGAAGCTGTAGATTCCCAGCCCATCTCTCATAACACATCATCCTTGAACACTTTTCAATCTGATCCTGTCCCCCTGAGCCCTGCACAAATCAAAGAAAGAGTACCATTCTTTGCACCTGTGGAACCTGTGGTCCATCAGTGGTCCAGTTCCCCATCCTTCATCTCTTGTCTGAACATTTCCTCCACATTCTTACTTTAACACAGTGGTTTTTAAACACATATCTGGCCTGTAATCCCAGCACTTTGGGAGACTAAGGCAGGTGGATCATTTAAGGTCAGGAGTTCAAGACCAGCTTGGCCAACATGGTGAAACCTTGTCTCTACTAAAAATAAAATTAAAAAAAAAATTAGCCAGGTGGTAGTGGCATGTGCCTATAATCCCAGCTACTCGGGAGACTGAGGCAGGAGAATCGCTTGAGCCTGGGAGGTGGAGGTTGCAGTGAGCCAAGATTGTGCCACTGCACTCTGGTCTGAGCAACAGAGTGAGACCCAGTCTCGAAAGAAAAAAAAAAAAACACCATATCTGTGTTAGAATCACCTTGGGAGCTTTAAATAGATTATTCATTGCTCAGGCCCCATTTTCAGAATGTTTCATTAGAGCCTTTGTCTAGGGGGATGAGGCTTCTGATTTTTTTTTTTCAGTAACTCACCTAGGTGATTGTAACATGCAGCCAGGATAGAGAACCACTCACTAGACTAGCCCTGGCTTTCCATCTACTCCAATAGCACATTCATGCCAGTGAACATAAGTTGGAAAAAACTACACAGCATGCTGATTGGTCTCCCTAAATTAGAAATCACTAAGCTAAATCAGATATTTTTAAAATTACTTTTAGAGACAGAGGCTGACTCTGGAGTGCTGTGGCCCACCATAGCTCTCTGCAATCTCAAATTCCTAGGTTCCAGGGCTCCTCTGGCCTCAGCCCCCCAAGTAGGTAGCACTAAAGGTGAGCACCATGGATATGACTTGGCTCTGTGTCCCCACCCAAATCTCATCTTGCAGGTCCATAATTCCCACATGTCATGGGAGGGACCCAGTGGGAAATGATTGCATTATGGGGGCGGATCTTTCCTGTGCTGTTCTCATGATAATGAATAAGTCTCATGAGATCTGATGGCTTTAAAAAAATCCGAGAGTTTGTCTGCACAAGCTCTGTCTGTGCCTGCTGCCATCCACATACAGTGTGACTTGCTCCTCCTTGCCTTCCACCAGGATTGTGAGGCCTCCCCAGCCATGTGCAACCATAAATTGATTAAACCTCTTTCCTTTGTAAATTGCCCATTCTCGGGTATATCTTTTATCAGCAGCATGAAAACAGACTGATACAACCACACACCCGACTAACGTTTAAAGTTCTTTTTTGTTGAGATGGGGTCTCACTATGTTGTCTAGGATGATCTTGAACTCCTGGCCTCAAGCGATTCTCCCACCTCAGTCTCCCAAAGTGTTGGGATTATAGATGTGGCCAGGTGCAGTGGCTTGTGCCCAGCACTTTGGGGGGCCGAGACAGGCAGATTGCTTAAGCCCAGCAGTTTGAGACCAGTCTGGGCAACATGGTGAAACCCTGTCTCTACAAAATATACAAAAATTAGCTGGGTGTAGTGGCATGTGCCTGTGATCCCAGCTACTTGGGAGGCCGAGGTGGGAGGACTGCTTGAGTCAAGGAGGTTGAGGCTGCAGTGAGCTGCGATTGCGCCACCACACTCCAGCCTGGGTGATGGTACAAGACCCTGTCTCAAATTTTTAAAAAAGGGATGACAGGTATGAGCCGCTGTGCCAGCCTTAAGTGAATCTTAAAAGTTGTCTTGTACCCTGCCATTTCCCCTTGTCCCCTCACTCCTTCTATCTCCTAGAGATACAGTCTCCATCTTTTCCTCAAAGCTCCAGGTTTCTCCATCCTTACTCACCTTAAGTGAGAAACAAAAGAAATCAGGAATGATCTTTCACAAGTTCCTCCCACCACAAATACTCACCTCTGCATAGGTTCTCATACATATGTCTGCCTTCCCTCATCCTGCGGCTCAGGCCTGCCCAGCAGATCTTTCTGTAATGACCAAAATATTCTTTGTTGACACTTTCTAGTACTGTAGTCACTAGTCCTATGTGACTAGTGAACACTTGAAATATGGCTAGCACAACTAGGTGGAGTCTCACTCTGTCTCTCAGGCTGGAGTGCAGTGGTGTGATCTTGGCTCACTGCAACATCCACCTACCAGGTTCAAGCAATTCTCCTACCTCAGCCTCCCAAGTAGGTGGGATTACAGGTGCATGCCACCACACCCAGCTAATTTTTGTATTTTTAATAGAGATGGGTTTTTGCCATGTTGTCCAGGCTGGTCTTGAACTCCTGACCTCAGGTGATCCTCCCACCTTGGTTTCCCAAAATGCTGGGATTACAAGCATGAGCCACCTACCCCAGCTGGAAAAATTTATAATTGTCTTCATTTTTAATTAATTTACATTTAAACAGCTAATGTGGCTGTGTACAAGGCAACATAGCTAGAGATGTTAGTCCCATCCAGGACCAACTCCTGTGCTTGTATTCTGTGTGCCATCCTCTCTTATACTCTAGGACATTGTTCCAACAATTGTTCCCTCTCCCAATTTGTTCATTTTCCTTTGTGACAGAATCATTCCCCCCTGCATACAAATTTTTTGTAACATACTCAGTTAAAAAAATTAGTCTCTTTGCCAGGTACGGCAGCTTGCACCTGTAATCTAAGCACTTTGGGCGGTCAAGGCAGGAGGATTGCTTGAACCCAGGAGCGCAAGACCAACCTAGGTGATACTCTACTCCCAAGTTGGAGTACAGTGGTGCAATCACGGCTCACTGCAGCCTCGAACTCCTGAGCTCAGGTGATTTTCCCACCTCAGCCTCCCAAGTAGCTCGGACCACAGGTGCACACCACCATACCTGGCTAATGTAGTTTTTTTCCTATGTACTTCTACAAATGTATGAAATATTTTATGAATGTGTGTCATCCTTGCATAGGATCCATGCTGGACTTCTCTGTATTATTCCAATTTTAGCATGGGTGCTGCTGAAGCAAGCACTAGTTTTTGTACTTTTTTGTACAGATGGGGTTTCACCATGTTGTGCAGACTGGTATCAAACTTGTTGGCCAAGCTCATAAGAAAATTAGCTGTGTGGTGCATGTGCCTGTAATTGCAGCTACTCAGAAGGCTGCAGTGGAAGGATCGCTTGAGTCGAGGAGGCTGAAGCTGCAGTGAGCAGTGATTGCACCACTGCACTCCAGCATGGGTGACAGAGTGAGCTGTCTCCAACAATAATAAAATTACCCTCTCTTGGTATTTCCCTTGAGCTACCATCAGCTTTTTGCTCCCTTCACAGCAGAAGTCCTCCAAAAGAATATTTTAATAATTGCTGACTCAAACTTCTTTTTCTTACTCTCTGTTGAACTCACTCAAATCTTACTTCTGTTCCCACCATTCTGAACTGGCTCTTATCAGTGTCACCAGTGACCTCTCTATCACTAAATACAAAGCAGTCCTTATCTTATGTGACACACAGTATCTGCAGCATTTAACCAGTAATCATTCTGTCCTCATGAAACACATTCTCGGTTGGGCTTCTTGGAAACTACCCTCCTTCTCTCCCTACTCTTACTTGACTTGCTGCCCTGCCTCTGCTTCGCTGGTTCCTGCTCATCTTAACAACCTCGACATTTCCAAGTACACTAGGACTTAATCCCAAATCCTTTCTTTTTTCAGGGGGGGTTTGTCAGGGACTGGGTCTCACTCTGTGACTCCGACTGGAGGGCAATAGCACCATCTCAGCTCACTGCAACCTCCGCCTCCCAGGTTCAAACAATTCTCGTGCCTCAGCCTCCAGAGTAGCTGGGATTACAGCACTCGCCACCACGCCTGGCTAATTTTTGTATTTTTGGGAGAGATAGGGTTTTGCCATGTTTGCCAGGCTGGTCTTGAACTCCTGGCCTCAAGTGAGCCACTCCCCTTGGCTTCCCAAAGTCCTGGGATTATAGGCAGGATCCACCGTGCCCAACCTCCAGATCCCTTTTTTGTCCTCATTTCACCCTAAGTGATCTCACTCAGTACCATCTGTATCTTTACCCTGACCACTCCTCTGAATTCTAAATTCATACATCCAACAGCCTAGCTGGCATTTCAAACTCAAAGATGAGCAGGCATCTTAATCTTCATGTGTCCATACTGAACTCTCGGTCCTCCCCTCTAAAACATACTGCTCCATCAGGAAGAATAGCTAATGGACGCAGGGCTTAATGTCCACGTGATGGGATGATCTGTGCAGCAAAGCACCACGGCACGTGTTTACCTGTGTAACAAACCTGCAATCCTGCACATGTACCCCTTAACTTACAAGAAAAGTTGAAGAAGAAAAAAAGCCCACTGCTCCTACAGTCCTTCCCATCTCGATGAATGTTAACTCCATTCTCCCAGTTGCTGTGGCCAAAAGCTCGTGTCATCTTTGACCCTTTTCCTTCTCTCACATCACAATTTCAGTTCATCAGAAAATCCTCTTGGCTCTCACTTGGGAATATATATTCCCAAACTTCCCTCTCCTCACCACCTCCCACCCTCATGTACAATTCTGCAATAGCCTCCTCCTGGTTTTCTTCCTTCTGCCCTTGCCTCCCCGTAGACTGCTTTCAGTACAGAAGCTGGAGTGATGCTTTTAAAATATGAGCCAAATCATCACCTTCATCTGCTCAGAAACCCTCACTGGCTCCCCTTCTGCTCAAAGAATTTAAAATGGTTTTCAAGGTCTTAGACTACCTGGCCCTTTTCCCCTCTGTGTTAGCTTTCTAGGGCAGCCATAGTAAAGTACCACAGACTGGGTGATTTAAACAACAGAAATTTATTTCTCACAATTCTGGAGGCTAGAGTCCTGAGATGAAGGTGTCAGCAGGGTTGGCTCCTTTTGGGGCTTCTCTCCTAGGCTCGTAGACAGCTCTTTTCTCCCTGTGTGGTCACCTGGTCTTCCCTCTGTGCCCATCTGTGTCCTGATTTCCTCTTCTTGTAAGGAAACCAGTCCTATTGGATTATGGCCCACCCTAATGACCTCATTTTAGGTCTTTAAAGACATTATCTCATGTGCTGAGGTTCTGGGGCTTAGAGCTTCAACATATGAATTTCGGAGAGACACCATTCAGCCCCTAACAACTTCCCTGACCTCACCTCCTCCCGCTCTCCCACTCATCCCCTCGACTGGAGCCTCAGGGCCATCTTGCTGCTCTTCAAACACATCAGAGTTATTTCTGCCTCAGGAGCTATTCTCTATGCCCAAATCCTCCTCCTCAAACAGTTGCAATCTTCCTCCCTCATTTCCTTTGCATGTTTGCTCTAAGCTGACTACGTCAGTGAGGCCTTTCCCCAACACGGTGAGTATTAATAGAATAGCAAGCTTCCAAGCCCCTAACTATACACAAATTCTCCATCTCCCCTTCCTCTGCTTAATTTTTCTTCACAGCCTGTACTATTATATACCACATTTTATGTTTTATTATTCACATGCTTGTATATTTTAAACCTCCCTCAACTTAGTAGGTGCTTATTAAATATCTGTTGAATTAGTGGATAAATAGGATACAGTCATTTGCCAAAAGGAATACATCCAAAGTTCAGCATTATAAGGGATCCAGAAACTGTATCCCATAAGGCACAGTTTAGAAAAATCAGATATTTAACGCTGAGGAAAAAAAGAAAATCTTGGGGGAAGTACTGGATAACTGTTTTAACAGTTCTAAAGGAGCGCCCTGTGGTGGAAAGCATAGTGTGTCTCTGCATTTGGTGATACTCCATGGGGCAGTGTTGGGATGTAAGGACAGAAGTGAAAAGAAGGTAAATTTTAGCTAAATGTAACAGCAAAAAACTCTAGTGAAATGTGATATTTCCTGAAGCTGCCTCCCAGTCATAGAAAATAAGGAGGCAGAAGCCAGATGACTGTCTCAAGAATATTGTAAAAGAGACACCCGCCTTCATGGGAGAATCAAACAGGTGATTTCTAAGTTGAGTTCCGACTCTAAGATTCTAGAAAGATAACCCACCTTTAGATGAGGAACATGTCACCACTTCATATAGTACAGCTGGTCTCAGAGCCCCATCCCTTTTATGACTCAGGTCTAGCAAGGTGGCCAGATCCTGGAAGCACCACAAGATGAAATGAGATCGGGAAGTCGAGGGGACAAAGGCCAAGCTTCGCCAATAAATATTCATATGACTTATGCAAGAGACTCCAATGATCTGGCTCTGCAGTAAATCCTCATCAAATTAAAGCCTTGGCCTCAGTGACTACTTCATCCCTTTCAGTTGTAAACACTGTAATTCAAGATGTTTTTTCTCAAGGAACAGGAACTGTAAGAGAGTTGTTAAAGAGAGACTTCAGACAGTCACTGAGGCCAGACACAGTGGCTCACTCCTATAATCCCTGCACTTTGGGAGGCTTGAGCCCAAGAGTTTGAGATCAGCCTGAGCAACATAGTGAGATCCTGTTTCTATGAAAAATTTAAGAAATTAGATGGGCGTGGTGGTACCCACCTGTAGTCCCAGCTACTCAGGAGACTCAGGTGAGAGGACTGCTTGAGACCTGGAGGTTGAGGCTGCAGTGAGCTATGATTATGCCACTACACTTCAGCCTGGGCAACAGAGTGAGACCCTGTCTCAAAAAACAAACAACAATAGTCGCAGAGAATATATGGAGTGGAATGGAAAATAAGGTGCACCGGCATGTTCAGATTGAAGGAGAATCATGTTAAGTCAAATCCTTCCTTCCTTACCTAAGACTACAGAAATGCAAGGAAAAAAATCCTCTGGGCCAGTTGTGCAACATCTTCTCTGCAAGCATGAGAAAGGGTAGAGAGCTCTGAGCTTGAAAAATCAGGAGGAAACTGCTACTTAATCACAGACATGTTACAGGCCTGCTTCTCACTCCCAACGGACCAGTGAAGCTTCAAGTTGTGCTGTGCTTCAGTTCATGGAGACTAAATCTTGCACTGAATGATTATCACTGAAGACTAATTTCAAAAAAACGAGTGTATCTGTGAGTGACACACATCACTCTGCTTGCCTGAGCTTCTTTGTTTTGATTGATAAAATGTCTTCTGTGGCTGTTTCCTGGGGGTTGAATTACTGAGACTAGTAAGACAGCACTACAGACTTGAGTCACTTAGGCTCAGTTTCTAATATCTTTATCTGCCCTTTTCTAGCCATTGCCTGTATATGACTTTTGGAGTTGTTTAGAGATTTTGGTCAAAAAGCACCAAACAATCTTGATACAACCTGATTTTAAAAATAGAAAATTCTCAGTAGCTCCCAAGTAGTTAAGGCAAAATGGCACAACAGACTAAGCAAATCCTTGACCTGTTTTGTTATGTTGGTCAAAAACTAGAATAAATTTGGTATTTTTCAGGATTTAAGCTGGGGTAGATGCTATTGCGCTAGAGTGACCTGAAAACCAAGTGGTATAGTTTGGATATTTGTCCCTGTCCAAATCTCATGTTCAGATGTAATCCCAAGTGTTGGAGGAGGGGCTTGAAGGTGTTTGAATCATGGGAGTGGACCCCTCATGAATGGCTTGGGCCATTCCCTTGTGATAAGTGAGCTCTCCCTCTGAGTTCAAGTGAGATCTGGTCAATTAAAAGTGTGTGGCATCCCCTCTACCGACCGCTCTCTCTCTTTTGCTCATCACATGCTTTCACCATGTGATGTTCCTGCTCTCCCTTAGCATTCCACCATGATTGAAAGCTCCCCGCAAGCAGATGCCAGCACTGTGCTTCAAGTAAAACCTGCAGAACTATGAGGGAAATAAACCTCTTTTCTTCAGAAATTACCCATCTCGGGTATTTCTTTAAAGCAATGCAAGAAAGACCTAATGGAAAATTGGTACTGAGAAGTGGGGCATTGCTACAAAGATACCTGAAAACATGGAAGTGACTTTGGAATTGGGAAATGTGCAGAGGCTAGAAGAATATGGAGAGCTGAGAAGACAGGAAAATAAGGGAAAGTTTGGAATTTCTTAGAGACTGGTTAAATGGTTGTTACCAAAATGCTGACAA